TATGAAACGAACGGTGCACAAGAATCTGTCCGATATAAAGAGATTCCGGTATATACATGTCCGGTATAAACAGGTTTCACGCTGCGCAGCACATCTTCCAACGAAAAAAATTTCGTTCTTCATATCCCAGATACTTTTCATATCAATTCATACCGCAAAGACCTTTCCTTTCCAGCAAGTAATCTTTTAGTCATTTCTTTAACTTTCAGGACATTTATTTTTTGGACTTCGATCTCCCGGACAAATCACCTGCAACAACATGAGCACAGCATACGATGACATGGATTTCGTGTACGCAGAAATTAAACGTCTTCCTCTCGAGAAAGCCGAAAAGACCAAACTGCGGGGATCTTTCACAAAGAACCCTCCCCAGGCAGAACACGCAGCAAGAGCTCTGCGAACATGTGCAGATGACGAGGAAAGACTTGACTATCTCAGGGAGCTGTTGGAGCCGCAACCAGGTAACAACGTTGTGACTCGGGCGTTGGGGGCATACACCCCCCTGCCAAAAGTATTCGACACTCTTTGAAATTTACTAATGCTTGGTAAGAATTGATAGAACTCACCTCTCCTATGATCGAACCACACCCAAAGTCAACTAATATGACCCGGTCATCCTTATCGATGAGGATATTGGGCAGTCGTACATCTCCATGTATTATACCTGTTATGTGGCATAGACGGAGCGTATCCACAATTTCTGCAAGGTATGATACAGATTTTGGACTTTCTAGGAGCGATCTAACTGCACGTGGTCGTAACAACATCGCATTCGCAGACGAATCGACAAGCTTTATTACACCAGAAATTTCGCGCAACTTTTCTAATATTCTTATCTCGTTACATAATATATCGGGCTGATTTACAAGTTTGACAACTGCATTGTCATCATTGACGACGCAAAATACGGTAGAGGTGGGTGTATATGCAATCATGTCACCTAAATTCACTGTTAGTCCTGAAAGCCACAAATTAAAAATGTATGTTACAAAATGATGCAGATACAAGTGTTCGGGCCGTTTTCTAGCATCTCTGGATCGTCAGCATGCAAAACACCTGTCATTGGGTGGAATTGAATTTCACTAAGAAGCGCTCGTAAATAGCAAGTAGTATCCTGGTCACTCAAGCTCATTCGGTCGGAATACAATACATTGTATGGCCAATCATCCGTTCCCCTGGCAACTTGAATGAATTCTATGTGATGACAATCCGTCAAGAATCCCGTAACTTTCTCCCGGTTCTTCTGATGGTTCAACATAATTATAGTGTACTGTAGGAGTTGCCCTTGATGGGTTTTTGTGAAACAATCTCCTTGACATTTTATCTCGCCTATAGCCTCTACTGTATGCGGAGTTAAAGAATAACGTTTA